CATACGACAGGTCTGGACCACTCCTGAACTTTGTTCGTATCTGAAAAAAATCTTTTTGAGTGAAAACATTGGTGAATGCCACAAATTCTCCTAAATCACTCGTACGCACAACTTAAGAACAAATCTGTGCGTACGAACGGTTCTTGCATGAGGCCCATTGTGATGATGATGCTCAAACAGTGTTGTACAGCTTTAATGTGTAGCATCCATATTTACTTCTGCAAACACAGAGCGCTGCGTGCGATTGTTCTTCGGGGCTGTGACCACGCCAAAAAAAAAAAAAAAAAGAATATGAGCAAAATGGGTGTTTTTGACCTGCAGAGTGAATGAAGCCTTATTGTCCACCTCAAAGATTGGATGTGTTAAATAATTCCTGTTCTCTGCTTACAGGGGATTCTTCCCTGTGGCAGTGGGATTCATCAGACGAGTACCTGTGCTCGGATCGTTGCTCAGCTTACCAGGGATCAGTACTGTAAGTCTTGTGTGAAACAATGAAGTGAAGCCTTGCATGCTTTGTTGTGAAAGACTCAGCTTCTACTAAATAAACTTTTAGCTCATTAAACTGACATTATCGCCTTTTGCTTTCTGGTAATAATTAACCAGTACAATTCAGTTTTCCTTGTAAATAACTACATTTTTTTTTTGTCTTTCAGCTGGTGGACAAAATCGGTGAGAGCAACGCCATGGTATAACACAAGCTGCTAACACACAACAGGAAACTCCAGTTTATCCTGGTTTCTAAGTGTGACTTTACATTTTGATCATTTCCACCTCAGAGCAGTGGATTTAAATGTTTTAATTTAAACATCCAGATGTGTTTGTGTATCTGCTGCTGAATAACAGCACAAATGTTTTTTTTTAACTTGATTTTATTTAAGAACCATTCCTTTGTGATGATTGTGGAATGAATATTTGGGACCAATGGAACGTCTCAGAGGTGTGTGGGGGGCAGTCGTGAACCTTTAATAGAACCCAGTTCTCCAGACTTTGTGCCTGGGAACATTTTTATGTTCCTGTGTTAGACATTTTGAACTTTGAAAGAAAGAAGACAGAGCTAAACTTTACAGAAATTTGAACTGTTGTGAAGAAAAAAAAATTGCAGACATTTATACTGTAACTTTTATTGTAACTTTTGTAAGTTCATACTTGCATTAAAGTGTCTTTTTATAAATACGTTTGTTGTTTTTCTGCTGTGAAGACCAGTTTTATTCTAAATCTCACAGATCCATGTCTTGGTATTACACAGATGTCCTCTCCTGCTTCAACTGAATGTTTACAGGGAGTTTAATCACCTGAAAGGAGAATGTTGTTTTGCAAATCTATTTTCTATATGAAGCCATGCTGCTGAAATGTGTGCAAGACCTTCCCTAACAACGTCATCTGAATGGGAGCATTTTGTTTGTGGTTTTTAACGATAGTTTCCAAAAGTACAAGCTACCCATGTAATAAGAGCTAATGCATCCCTAGGGTTGGGCACTATTGGCAAAAAAAAAAAAAAAAAATCATGATTAATTGTGTTATTTAGCTGATAACGATTAATTATGATGATTAATCCCCTGGAGTCCCTGGACACCCTTTTGTTCTAGTCACATGACCAATTTAGTGGGAAAGATTTGCTCTTCACAAAAATCTGTCCCAAACTGTGTCAAAATTACAGACTTCAGGCTATACATCAAATTTTAAAATGTGTTGATAAGTAAATTACAGAACTTTTGTTTAAGGTTTATCATATTTGAAGGGAGAGGAGCACTGAGTGGCCTGCCTGGTGGCATTAATCGTATTAATCGTCAAGTGCCAAAAAAAAATTGTTTTTCTGATGATTAATTGCACACGATACGATTGTGCCCAATCTTATGCACCCCTATACTATCAGAGAGGCAGGCTTTAGGACTGTGTTGATAATGTATTGGATGGCTTGTCTCTTTAGTAGAGAAAAAAATCTGACTTCAGTTTGTTTTAATTGGGCTGTAACGTGGCTTTTTTTTGTACGATAGAGCTTTAACCATAGTTTGTAGATGGCACAGAAAACTGTTTACAGACAACTTTTAGTGTGAGTGCTCCTGAGCCCACACAGTGACGTCCAAAACAGAATCAGACCTGTTTTTGCTGCAGCGGCCCCTGAGGGCCCAGAAAACACCAACATCCAGTGTGACCTTCCAGTTTCTTTGAGCAAAGATTCATTTCTGATAAAATTATGAACTGTGATGAAAAGAACAATGATTAACTTATTTTTTGTTGATGATTTTTGGAAACGTGTACACATTGTTCAGGAACATTTTGTAGATGGGTGAAGCTCTTCTCATTTTTACTTCTAACAGATCAGTCCTTTACTTTTACTGAACCTGATCAGCTACAGATAGCTACCACTTCTGTTGTTCCTGTCACAACTTGTCAAAATGACCTTTTATATGTTTGCTTTGTTATAGATTGCTGAAATCTGCGAATAAGTTTGATTTCGGTTTTACCCACCTCATGGAGGGCTCTGCAGTGAGTGGGCTCGTGCAGCTCCTCATCAACAAGCTGCCTTCTGTCCCCAGGCCCTCTGCAGGCGCCTGCACCCACACGCTCAGTGGGACGCTGTCATCACGAGCCGCTCATTCAGCAAGTCCCATCAGCTCCGTCAGCCTGCGGTGACCTCATGAGGCTCAACAGTTCAAACTGCTCCCCACGGCTGGTGTTCAACAGCTTCAGCAGCACCTGTCACTCTGTCAGCGAGGTTAGGGTGGAAACTAAATCCACATCAGCCTCATCTGGAGAACAAGCTGGAGAAATCTGCTGATTATCAGCGACAGATCAAGACTGACCAACTGAGACGCACAACGGTGAGCTGTTCTTTTTTTTTATTATTAGGGTAGAAGTTGGCAAACATTTGCTGGTGTTTGCAGATTTTTCTAAGCAGTCAGTGTTTAATGGTTCTGTCACATCATCTTTTATATGTTAAATGTGTTTTTTTTAAAGAAAAGTTTGCATGATTTTTATGTCTTCATTTGTATTTTTTCAGTTTTCTTGCCTTTTCTCATCTATGAGCTTCTAAACTTTAGATTCCAAAAAATTTGATGAGAAACTGGACAAACTGCTTTGGTTTGACTCCATAAAACGTAACAACAAAAATCAAACGTGTCCCTAACGTTGCAAGTTTTTCACATTCTGGAAAATGAGATTTTAAACCTTTGGCCAGTATTTCCTTTGCACATTCATACAGTATTTTCTTACACAATTCTTTATTGTTTGACTCATTGATGAATTAGCTGTTGATCGTCCGGCTCATCTTAAGATTATTTAATACCCTCATATTAATTTACTTATTTACTGAATACTCATCTCATTTAAAAATAATTTATTCACTTTTAATGACTTTGCTTTTATTTGCCTTCATACTGTGGGCAAAAACAAGCAGCTTCACTCAAAAAACAGATGTAGAGGATTTACTTTAAAAAATATGTCAACTGGTTTCACTCAGCTAAACTGAAAAAAAGACACATTTACTTTACACTTACGGCACTTAAACACACACACACACGTGTTTTTATTTTAAAGAAAGTTTGCATGATTTTTATGTCTTCGCTTGTGTTATGTTTGGTTTAAGCTCTTTTTAAGTTGTGTCTTTATAAACTTCACACAACGGAATAAAATTTTCAACACAATATTGAACATATGATGACGCACAATAAATGACACGTTGGTGAAGCAGCTCTAAGCACATTTTGAAGTATTTATAAAGGTTATTAGAAAGAATTAAAACTTTGTTCAGTATGTGATAAATTTCTTTTCACCACAGTTTCCTGCTACAACCCCTCTCTGTTAATGTTTAACATGTGATGTTTTATTGCAGAATTCCACCATGTCTGTACAAGCGGCTCTGCTTGTGCTGTCAGTGGTCTCCCAGTGTTGGACCGCTCCACAGGTGACAGCAACCGGATTCTGTTGGTTCTAATTCCATCCTCAGAGGTGAGACCTATGTAAAAATAAAACACTGGTTTCTGTTTGTTATTCCAGAGGAGAAACTGGACCCCTCAGGCCATGTTATACCTTAAAGGAGCACGTAAGAGCACGCTGACATCGACCTGTCGCAGGTCAGAGTGAGAGTGAACGTGACTGAGTGTTGATCTGTTGCAGAGGGACACGGCTCAGTGTTGGAGCGCAGCAGCAGAGAGGAGGGTCTACAGTCAGGTGGGTTCCACACGGGGTGCAGCTACCTGGTAGGAAACTTATTCTACTTTACAAATGTTGTTCACAACAGTGATGTAACTTTGATAACTTAGGGGAGACCGGGGCTTGTTGTCACACTTTTTACACTTTTATATATATTTCTTGGAAGCAAAACATCACGTAAAAAAGAAATGTGTACCCGATGAAAGAGGTATGTATTTTGTATTCATGTCATTTTCACATCTTGCATCAGTGCAGAGTTATGAGCAATCAAATAGAGAGAGTGAACATGTGACATGATGACCCACCATAGGGTAAGTTGTCTCACTGGATTTTGCAACTAACAAACCAAGGACAAAGTTATTGTTGTTCTGTTTTTTACTCAAAAGTGAGCTTGAGAATTGAAGTCAGGCACAGAAAAGTGAGAATAGCAGTTTTTCTCTGCTGGTTAACTTCTTTTCTTGGACCAGCTTTTGAATAAGGCCTAATATCCTCTGGAGTTAATGTGTTGGTTAAGGTGATGGCTGGCTTTCTAGGGACTGGGTTAGCTTGGTTGGTGCTTTGGCCTGGAGTAGCTGGGTCAGTACTCCTGTTTTCTTTATTAGCTATAGGGTCACTTGCCTGACTGCCCTCAGCATCACGCCAGTTGCTGCACTGCAATGTTCTGTTTGCCGTTTGTAATTCCTGAAAATGTCTTATTGCTTTCTGCTCTCCTTTATACTACCCATTTTCTGTAAAAATAAAGTAAAAATATCATTATGACAACTACTGATAAGCAGATTCTCAATGTTAATTTAAATCCTTTTTGAAATTTGTCATTTTGGGGTAAGTTGTTACATTTGACAACTTACCCCAAAATGACTGAGACAAGTTGTCCCAAACTACATCGCTTGCTAATTTGACCTTTAGCTCAAAGTTAGCTTAACTGAACAATGACTGAGGTATGACAGGATGCCTTAATATCTCCTCCAACAAGTCCACAATTATCCCTGTTAGGATTTTTATCTGAAAGAAGCTTATTTTGTAATATTTCAGTTGATTTTTTTTTACTTTGGGTTGTGCAAAAAGGTTAATTAGTGTTTATTTCACCTCACAATGTGCTAGTCTCTTCTCCTATAGGACAAAACACCTGCTCATATAAAAGAAGAAAACTAGTATTCCACTTTTGAGTTGTGCCCTCTGGTGGAGAAGATAATTGTAATATGACAACTTACCCGTGTGACAACAAGCCCCGGTCTCCCCTAATACATTTAGTATTGATAATAACAGACAAAAACACCAGTTTCATTGTTTAGCTCACATTATGAGTGTAAAATCCTGGTTAAAATCTTCCAGTGGCACACTTTTAGCTCATTATTCTTACATTTTGCACATTTCCTCACAAACCATCCATCCTCTTTACCTGCTTCTTCCTTTGTGGGTCATGGGGGTCACTGGTGCCCATGTCCAGTCACTGTGCAATGGTCGAGGTACGTTTTGGATAGATCCCAAGTCCATCAAAGAGACGCAGTCATTCATGGGTAACACCATTACCATGCATTATGGGAGATGTAGTTTATGGTCAATGCTGACTTTAAAGCAGCATACGGTTATTTTAATACATTAATACATCTTTAAAGCTCTCTTGGGTCACATAAAATGCAGTGGCGGGCCACATTTGGCCCACAGGCCTTGAGTTTGATATGTGGGGTTGGGGGTAAGATGAGGGTGCAGGGTTGTGTCGCCTTTCAAAGATGACATCTGCATCTCTCCTCCTTTTTTTTTTATTCTTGTAAGATTTTCATCCAAACCTCTCTGTGCACTCCTCTTCAGAGAATTACAACCAGATCAGGGATGGACTGAGATTGTCTTCGGCTTTCTTTCTTCTTTTTGAGCTCCTGCAGCAAGCTGAGGAAGAAGGTAAGATCATAAAAACATCCATCACCTCCTGACTGACCGCCGTTTGAGGTTTTTGTCAAATCTGTCCATTTTGTTCCTCAGGTGGAGGCAGAAACTATAGAGCTGAATGAAAACCATTGGTGAACACCAACAGAAACTATGAACACCTTTATTTTTTCCATGCGAAATTATTAACTTTTCTTTTTTGTATTTGTTGTGTTGTCTGACTGCATCCTGTTGCCGTTTAAGTTTCTTTATGGAAAAAAAAATCAGTAAGCAACTGTACGTTTTAATATTGTGAGCCGTGCTGGACAGAGTTTCTTTCTGAGTTTCACTTGTCAAATAATAATAATAATAATAAGCTGCAGGCACCAATTCTGTCACTCATTGGCACCACAAAGTGATTAACACCATTATTTAGTCAGACATCATCATGCTGTCTTCACTGACGTCACTGAGTCACGTCTGGGTCAAACAGAGGTGTTGATTTAGTTTCATGATTAACTGGAGGCTGTAAACAAGACAACATAACAGGAGCTGCACATCAAGGCTGATGTGCTGCCAACAGGACGCTGCAGCTGATTAACGCCTGGAGTCATTCAAGATGGCCGCCACAGTCAACTGAGCTAAAAAAAACACACAAAAAATGGCTCAAACCCAGTTTGTTTTAGAGATACTGAGCTGATTTGTCTGTTAGCAAAATTTCTCATGAACCACTGAACAGATTTTAATTAAACTTCTAGGGGTGAAAAAAAATCATTACATTTTAATTTATAACTGATTAACTTTTGGTGCCAATTCAGTTCAAAATGGCCTCCAAAGCCAAGTGACCTCACATAAAAAAAATATAATTCAGTAAATTTTACAGATATTGTGCTAAAATGTAATTTTTTTTCAAAGAACATTAGCGCAACATGTACCTCAAATGCTACTTAATGCATTAGGCTAACTGTTGGAGTCAACCTTGTTTCTGTTAGCAAAATATCTCACAAACCACTGAAGAGATTTTTTACGAAACATTCAATAAATAAATAAATAAATAAAAATCATCAGCTGCACAAATTATTCACTTTTGAAGGTGGCCACCATCCAATCAACATTACGCACACACACACACTAACGTCTGGTTTTTATATCCTCATGGGGACCATGGATTGACTTCCATTCATTTTTTGGGAATTTTATCATCTAACCCTGACCATTTACTTTAAAATTAACCTAACTCAATTCACACCTTGGTCTTAAACCTAATCCCCCCTACCCGTAGTTTGCATTCGTACCCGTGGGGACCGGGCATTGGTCCCCACAAGGCTGCTTTTTTGGGAAAAGGGTCCCCACGGTGTAGGAAAAACATGTTCACACACACAAATGTCTGTAATTCAGTCAGTGTTACAGCTACAAAGCTAAAATTTGGTGTGGGACGTCTTTAGCTAAAAAAAACAGCAACATTTTGTCACATTTCAATGTTTTGTGTGAATTTTCCAAAGTCAGCTTTTAGCACATTAAAAGGTTAGCTAAAAGCTAAATCTAAATGTCAATTTTAAATCTAAAAGTTTAATCTATATGCTACTGGACATTTATATTTAATGTTTATATTTAACATTTAAATGTGTTGAAAGGTGACATTAGAAAATCCACAGTACTTTTTCAAACACAGTTGGACATTAATGTGCCAAAATGTTGCTGTTATTTTTTATCACAAGCTGCTTTACAAACAGCATCCTTTAGAAATATCATGTGACCACACTGAAAATATTTACAAGGTTGAATCAAAATGGCTTTAACTTTAAATTTCTCATAATAAAATGATCTTGGTGTAAAACTCACTGAGATCGATATGCAAGAATTGAAGGACAGGAAAGGTTTTTTAGTGTTTAACTATATTATTCAGTTGAAACCACGTATCTCCAACGCTGCAAAGGAATCACACTCCATGTTTACCAAACGCCTCTGAATGAGTGAAACCGAGCAGCAGTAAGCATGTTTTATTTCACGTCACAGCAACACAAGCAGCACAGGGCTCCACGCTTCAACACAGCTAGAAACATGAGAGTTTCTGAATCACCTCGTCCAGTTTGTCTCCTCTTCATCAACCATAGGAGCTCACTCCTGCAGCCTGATGACCTGTCAGGGCTGTGAGAGCGGCGGCTGAGGAGCAGGCCGTGGAGCTGCGTGGTGTTTGTGACCATGCTGCAGGTGACTAAGTATTATCGTAGTCGGGTCAGACGTCCCTCAGGTCCTTCTGGATGTCCCACAGAGTGTTGGCACTGGCCTGCAGTTGGTTCACCTCGTCGTCCGTCAGGGTCATGTTGACCACGCTGGCCACGCCTCCGCTGTTCAGCACGCAGGGCAGACTCAGGTAGACCTCATCACCGATCCCGTACATGCCCTGAGGAGAGAGGCACGTCTTTTTTTATGTGGATGTCATTAAAAGCTCTTTATTAAACTCTGAAGGAATGTGTCTTTGTTGAATCCACACTTTATCAAACCCTAACCGCCATGAAAGGGAGACAGTCAGCAGTCAATTAATGTTGGTTTCCTTCACTTTTAATTTATGGATTTGACGTGCAATAAATGAATAAATGTTTTACCTTCACCATGGTAGAGACTGGATGTATTCTGTTCATGTTCCGCATGAGACTCTCCGTCAGGTCGGCCACACTCAGACCGATGGCCCAGTTGGTGTAACCCTTCAGTTTGATCACCTCGTAGGCACTGAAGAACACAACACATCTCAGATACCAAACATTAACACCCAGCTGTGAACCTGTCAGACTGAAGCCTGGACTCACACTGCATTAAAGCAACAACAGAAGGAGACCAACTGAACACGCTGAGAAGCAGATTTGCTCTTGAGACAGCTGTTCTTATACTGAAAAAAGTATAAATAACATCTGGAACATACATTTATCAAACAGAGCCACCTCCAATTTTCACGTCAAGAGAAAAGTCAGGGCTATTATTATAATACATATTATATTAAAGACTAATGAAAAGGTTTTAGCTCACATTAAAATTACTTTGCACAATTAGAAA